TTTCAAGAGCGATATTGTAGGTTAATAACATTAAGGGCTAAAAGTTAGGTAATTTCATTATTTTCTGATCATTACTTTCTACTACGACGTTTGTACCTATCATAGGCATTCTATTACTATATTTAGCTTTTAGTTGTTGACTAAAAACAAGGCTAAATTTTTGAAGGTGTTTATTGGCGATATGTAAATAAGTGAACTATTTCCCATACTTCACTTAATTTACGGAAAGTTATCGAAAATTGCTCGTTATCTCATTTAAAAAGCATGAGCAGCAATCAAAAATAGATATATTTCTAGGTTCCCTACTTTTTTTTAAAGAAAACACACATAAACTTCAAATTTAATGAGAAATCTTTATTATCATTCGAAAGAACATTATTTGGCTTTTTTGAAGATTATCTCTTTCAAATGTTGGCCGCGGCTATGTCTCAGATGGTAAACGACTCGTTCGAGCATTTAGACGGGAAGCTGGTGAATGACTCGTTTTACTCAAAGGTCTGAATCCATGTGGGATTGTCCGCATAGACTCTAGACTTTACATCTAACGGTGTGATATCACACGATCTTGGGGGCCAATTGACCGACCCAAATCGTGAAGTTATCTGCTTACCGAAGTGTTTCCTCAATACATCCACTGATTGATGCAATGTGTGAAAAATGGGCCGTCTTGTTGAGCACGAGAATCAATTTCACGCTTCAAATAGTCGGTTATCCGGGATCATTTTTGAGGAAAAATAGAGCGATGACTCCACCGGCTCATAAACCACACCAAACCTTTATTTCTTTTCGATGAAATAGTATGTCTTGAAACTCTTCAGGTTGGTCTTCGTCTAAAAGGCGGAAATTTTGCTTGTTTATATACATTTTTATTGAGTCAGAAATGGGTCTCGTTGAACAAAATTTGTCATCGTCGGAGCTTCTTGGAACTTTTAAAGAGCTCATAGAGTGAAGCGATATCGCTTGGGAAGGTGGAGCGGTTTCAGTCGTTACACAAACTCTATTTTGTACACTTTCAGTTTATGATCTCGAAGCAAAATGTGACAAGTCATTCCATAAGTCAATCCGAGTTATTGCGAAAGGCGTTGAATAGTTTTTCCACGGTCTTCGTGTACACTCCCAGCTATGGATATAGTTACATACCAAAAATTGTTCAAAAGTTTTGTTTCCGAATTTTGATAAATGTATACTTGACCAGTGAAGGAGGTGAATTGTATTCTCTCATCTCAGCGTTCTGATCAATTTCTCTGAACTAGAGTACTATTAAGATATTGTGTATTTATGCTAAGAAATTCGAAACAAACATTAAATTCACATTCTGTCCAGAAATGGTAACTTAGGTCAATATAAAAATATTTGCAGACGATACACACTCATCCGATCAGGATCCGGACTCGGAAGTAAAGACCCTACAAGAGGCCGAAGACCCATTTAACGAAAAAGGTAGCGTAGCTGACGCTGGCGATGGATTCGAGGCAAATTTCGAAGCCAACTTCGATGCGAATTTCGATGACGCTTTTGCCGGTGGCGCACAATCTGCCGATATTAATGCCGAACCAAGCGCCGATGACGTTCAAGCACCTAAACAGGTTGTCGGTGGGCGTGCAAGCATACCCGAGGAATTGGATTCGAATCAATTGGCGCGATTGCAAAATCTGAAGGAATCAAATGCTTAAACAGTATTAGAAATAACAATACTTGCATTTAAAGATAAACATACCGAAATAAATATAAATGCAATATGAAAAAGCGACAATTAAAGCATTATGGAGTAAGCATTGTGAAGAGGCGCAATTTTGAAGGGAGAATGAATATGCAGACATATATACTAGTATATGTGTATTATATATGTACTTACTTGCTAATATATGTATGTGTACTCAGAGTAGAGTTGGAGCCGGCAAAGAAGTGAATAAGCAAGTACGCTGATCTCAAACGCCAAGATATCGGTGATCTTCAGTTACTTTAAAAAGTTGCATGTAAATTAATCTATTTCATTTTCGGTCTTTAAATGCTTAAAATATAGTATTATGGGAGAGCCTTAATATCAGAAGATAATTGTACGCTGAACTTTCACAGTTGTGTCAACTTTGCACCTTGGTAAATGTACGTTAACGTATATATAAAATATAATGACGAACTCTAAGATACTCATATGTATATGACCCGCTTTCATAAACCTCCACTTGAATTGAACTATTATTAGGGAAAATGTTATACTTACTCTAAGTGCATTCACAAATACTTATAATTACGTATAAAAGCACTTAAAATACTCGTACTGCATATACTAAAGTATTGCATATACTTATTTAGTAGAGAATTGAAATCGTCTAACTGCAGTGGCATGCCAAAACATTCAAGTATTAAATTTGAGTTTTTTGCCTTTAAATTCGAGAAAGAAATTAAAGTATTATTTTCAGCACCACTGTAGTTATAAGAACATCACGAATGTACTTCAACAAATGTGCTTGTTAGTTATATACTCTCATATACTATTACATACCTATGTACACCTAAACATTTACTTATAGATACTTGTAATTACACAAACAAAAATGATAGCTAAAATGCTGTAAATCTAATAAAATAAAGTGTTAGCAAAGAAGGAAAATGCAATAAGTGAGAATTAAAAGCATTATTATAGCTAAAGAGAAAAAAAAAAAAACAACAAAAATTGCTGCAGTCAATTGTTAATTTAAAGTTTAATAGCCAAGTACCTTCAGTGAAATATTCATTTGCCAATAGTTATATACTCATATTAATATATATTTAAATATACACATGTAGAGCTGCTTTAATATTAACTAAATATATGTTTTTATTTTATCTAATAATTTTAATAGAATAATTACAGACTTAACTTTTTTTCTAGAATTGTTAAGTTGGATTGTTCAGTTACTTAATTTTACTTTTGAAATAGAAATCTACACTAAAATAGTCTCTGTCAAAACAAAAAATGTTTTTTAGGTTGAGGTTAGGCCATAGCGTTGACCTATCAAAGAATCTCTTTGGACAGCTCACAATTTTAGTGCTTTATTTTACATTAAAACTACTCAAAATGGAGGATGAGCAGTCGTAAGTGCATAGTGGAGCATAGAGCAAATAATATTTTAATTTCACCTTTGACAGACCACACACACTTAGATGCCCAACGATTAATCATTCCTTGAATAATTTCATAACTTCGAAAATTTGCCAAAAATTTGTGTTCTTTCAACTTTGAAAACACATTTTCATGTCAAAAAAATACTCTGAATATTCCAACTGTATTCTCAGCCTAACTTAGTGGATATAAACTGACTTGTGACCATTCTGAAAACTTAGTGCATCTTCCGCTCTCACGAAAGGCAGAATAAAACTCTGTGCTCTGTGCTTGTGCTTGAGCAATTCCATTTTACGCTCTTTTGAAGCCAACTTTACTTTCCTACTTAAGTCATCCTGAGTTATTCTTTGAAAAAGAAGTTCCTGAAACTAGTTGAATCAATTATGATGCAACACAGAATCGGTGCATTTCTTTGACTTAACAAAAAGTTAGTTGGATATAAAAGTATTTTAATACCTTAATTCTCCCAGGAAACTATCCTCATAAGCTTGAATAGATGTTCTGCGACGAGATAAACAAATACGAAATATATAAATTCAATAAAAAAAAATTCGAAAAATATGTAAAATGTTTTAATTTTGAATATTAAAAACAATAATTAATAACAATTTCTTTAAGTTTCTGTGTTTTTTTTTATGTATGTTTTCGTTATGTAGTTGAAATTTTGTTAAGCATTCCGTAAAGTTGGAAAACACAAACATCTCTGACTTTATCGAAAACGAAAGAATTGAATATAAAATTATTAAGATATGTTTAAATAAAGATTAAACACAAAGTCAATATTAGTGCTATATACATATAAACAGGTCCTCAAAAATAATCGATTACGAAAATAAACAGCCATACATACCATTCATATACATATATCATACGTGCTCTCATATACAATAAATATTTGAAAAGGAAAATGCATTCACTTATCAACCACAAGCTACTCGAACAGTGTGTCTACAATATCATATGACTTATATGTAAAAGTTACACATTCATACTTAAAGGGAGCTCTAATTTAGACTAATTTATTGAAAGCATGAATATTAGAAAAATTGTACAATAATTTGTAGAAAAAAGTTTATATATATATGTACTGTTCTTAATACTGTAAAGTTTTGTTGCGTTTTCTATTGAATTAACTATTGAAATGAAAGTATTATGTGTAAATCCGAAAAAATTAAAACAATTTCTAATAGCCTGAAATGTAATGCAAGAACTAAAAAATCCAATCCAATAAATACATATATAAATTCCATTATTGTCTTTATAATTATTTATGTCCGTCAGAAGTTATTAAACTGAGGTTAGATAGAATAGTAGAATGGGTAAAATTGTTAATCTGAGCTGAAAATCCAGTGATTCTATACAACTTCACTTCCCACCTTTTCTACTAACAGCCATCCATCTATGAAAAAGCCCATCATAATTGCAATCGAAGAAGCGTAGAATTTAAGTAGGTATCTGCTTGGGACTCCGAGTCAAATAACAGCCTAAGCCGTAGTGCATCTGTGGGTGAAGAATGACATGGTATGTGAGCATGATATATGATGATAAGTGCTGTTATCGAGCGCCCTTTACCAAAAAACAACTTCATAAAATATCTAATCACAGATAAGCTCCAAGTACCTCACCCTCTCCACCGGTATAAGGTCAGCCAGAGCCAGAAGTCGAAATTGGGTACAATGAGGCTGATGAAATGGTTGAAATTACTTTTGCAATTAAAATAAAGTGCATTCGAGAGGGCGTTTCCCCGCAAATTTACTTCTTCTTTATTGACGAGGTCACCGCTTAGGTGGTTATAGCCCAATTTACAACAGCGCGCCAATCATCCTTCCCTTTCGCGTGCGATTTTAGATTCCAAGTACAGTCAGGTCCTTCTCTTGGTGTATCCAACGAAGTGGAGGTCTTCCTCTTCCCCTGCTTCCTTCGGCGGGTACTATGTACTCTCAGAGCCGGGGAGTTTTTATCCATTCAGACGACATTACCATGCCGGAAATATACTACTTTGATCAAGAAGTTAGTTAGACTCGTTCGTCAAAATGTTTATTTTTTTAGATTGGTATGGCTGTAAGTGACTTCTGTGCCTAATGTCACATCAAAATAATCGTTAGTGTTTAGTATAGGCTTGTCTTTCCTAAGTACATACATAACATACATAAATTCCATTTGGAGAGATCATTTGGAGCTAATTTTTTCGCGTTACCGTTTGTGAAACAATTCGTTCAGAATACCTGGATGCCGCATATCGTGACTCAGGATTATTATTAGAAAAAAGTTTATTAATATATCTCATGGAGTTACCAATATTTTGGGTTATAAGTTGAGCGATAGGCACCGAGTTTATTTATGAAACGATTTGGACCATTTCTAGATAAAAGAGGCCTTTAGACATTTATTTCATGCACATGCTTTGAGGCACTGGTTGAGAAAAATTCTATTTCAGTGCCTTCATTTTGGGCTTAACGTGCACATAGTAAAGCTTAATAATCTGAAGAGATTTAAAAATTTGTTATATGGCTAGTACGGTAGGTAATTTTCCGATTTCGGTCACTTTCATGGATGATTTTAATATTGGGTTCGTCTTATTATCATCCATGAATGGTTGAAATTATTCGAATAGTTGATATATGACTTCACATAAAAGTGGCAGTGACAGACGTATTGTTCAATTTTGTTCGTTGTTATTTCCCCATTTTTCTGTGAAATGAAGTGCTAGGCGAAATGATTATTTCGATGTAGATTAAGTAGTGTAGGATATATTTAGTATGTATTTTAATTTTATAAAGATACAGCATACTGACAACGTGTCGTCGTTATTAACTTCAATTTCGGTTACTCGTAATTTCGTGTAGAAATGTTTTTGTGTCAAATATGTCATATATATCGAGATCAAGTTATTAAAAATTTGATAGCAACCCTAAAATATTACAAATTTAGTCGAGTACTAGCGGGATTCTGTAACCAGATCATCACAGATACTAAGCGGTTGTCGTTTTTTTATAGTTTGTAAGCAACTCAAACACGAAAAGGTTAAAAATAAATAAATTTTACATAAATTTCGTTAATATTATCAAACAAAGTGAACATATATTTTTATTTTTAATGATAATTATGTTGTTTGACTATGTTATAAAAAATTTAATGTTTGTTATCAACATATTTATTTTCATTCAAATGTAAAAGCATTTCTGAATAATGAAATGTAATAGATTTGGTGACTGTTACTTACAGAATAGCAAAATCGTCTCAAGTCTCAAAAATTGTCTCTAGCTTAAAATCTTAAATAAATTTAGAGGCTTGAGACTGTATCACAGTACAGAATCGCACGGTAAGTCAGATTTGTCTTTAAGTTGTATATTTAAAATTATTTTGTTAAAAATGCTACAACAGAATACCATTTTAAAATATTTGAATAATCAGTTTATTGCTTGCTTATTTGGCAAAGCTTTTCTAAGCTTCTGTAGCTTATAACTAATGGGTTGAGTAACGAACTAACTTGAAAAAAGCACAAAATTGTATAACGACTTATTTGGTTAGAAGGTTAAATCATAAAAAAGCTCCTTATTGCAGAAAAACTGAAGCGAGAGTGAAAGCACAATGTAATATAATTCCAAAACTAAC